AACCTCATCTTTCCCAGCCCCAGGAGAGTAGAAATGAAGGAAAATAAATGAAGAGTAGCAATTTTTTCTTCTCAAAGCCATCACTTACAAACCGTTTGACAGCCCAGTCGCGAGTGCGTTTCTGACAAGAGCAGCAACCCTGCGACCATCCCCAGACAGAAAAACAGCAAGGCGGTCTTGATTAGATCGTGGTAGGAAAAAGAACCCTGGTTCTCGACGACGGCGCCTTCGGGAAGAGAGCGTTGCTTCTCTGCTTGCACGATCGGCGCAACTGGGGCTACTGCATTTTTTTCACCGGTTACTGTCTTTTCCAAACTACTGGTAACTTGAGTCGATGTCGCTGTGACGATTATTCGTCCATCCTGGTGGGCAGGTTCTTCTACCACCGTAGGGGGTCCCACAGCAGGGACCACAGGCGGTTGATTGTCGTGGTTCAACACCTCCACACTTGATGGCTCTAGGCGTATCGGAGATGTACTAGCATCCGAAACTTCGCCAACACCAACAGTTGAAATAACGGCGTTCTTCACGACTTTCAACTCCTGAAGCGTCTTCAAAATTTCCCCCAAACTCTGCTCAAACCCGTCCGCGCGGGCTTCGTGGACCTTTTTTGTGTGTGGTTTTATTGTGTGTCTATGGGTGAAATAGCCTTGGCCATGGCCATGATGTTGTTTTCGCAACAATAAACCGTCAACATAGTTAATAGAGTGACACCGCGTAAAAGATTGCTACTAAAGAAATGCAAATTGAAATTTTAATTTTCGCCTTGCTACTCCACCAAACGACACTGCCACATTCATGAAGACGCAGATGAAACCCACACGAAAACAGTAAGTACCTGCAGCAGCTTCAAAAGCAGCTCCCGATCTGCTTCGCCCGGATGAACAAGTGCAGTAGCAGTACCAGCTGCATTCTCCTTCGAACTACCCGCATCATTAAGTACCGGAGTCGGACTCGACACATCCGCCGCTGGTCGCTTATCATCTTTCACAACTTCAACGTCCATGTTGATGTTGTCCATAGGAGCTATTTCCTCTTCGTCTTCCTCGCGCGGAAGTAACGTTTCTTTGGTGGATTTCGACCTGTTCTTGGTGTCCTCCTGCTCCGGCTTACCCTGTAAAAGAACATCCTCCGGCTTCGCGGGGGCCGTCACCGTCTTTGTTGCCGTGTTCTGCTGCTGAAAATCGGCTTCTGCAACCTCACCATCATTTTCCTCTTCGCTTGATGGGACCCCGCAACCAGCTTCGTTGCCGGTCGCTTCACGTCTATCCACATCCTCACCTGCAGGAGTGGCGATTACCAAATTCGAAGAGCCGTTGAAAATTTGCAGCTGCATTAAGCCGAAGGAGCAAGCGCAACATAAGTACTTAACGAAAGTATTGTTTTTGCTTTTGTTGATTCGGTGCATTCCTTGAAGACTGTTGGAGTGCGGTACAAATCGTGTCGGTGTCGCACTGCTCCTATATTTATCATGTGGTTTCTGTCGCTTCTACTGGTCTATGATCGTGTTCTTTTTTGCGTTCTAATTCACTTAGATTTCAACATTATTTCTCACCGTTGCCACTGCGGTTCTGCTTCTGACTTGATGCTCCTCAACCTCATCTTTCCCAGCCCCAGGAGAGTAGAAATGAAGGAAAATAAATGAAGAGTAGCAATTTTTTCTTCTCAAAGCCATCACTTACAAACCGT